TATGGAAGTTATATTTTATAATCAAGATTAAATTTTATAGATTGTTTATAAAATTTTGAAAAACAAATGTAATTGGCTTCATGCTGTTTTTATTAAGGTTTCTTGTTTAAAAAATTAAGTCTCAACTCAAATAATGAAGGTTTTCGCTTTTTTTGGAATGCTGGAATTATCACTTTGGTTAAATAAATGACTTTACAATGACCTGTAATCCTATTTTGTAATATCAAGTATTTTAAACCTTTTATATTTGACAAACTTTTCAAAAGCAAATTATAAATTATATCTTTTTGGCCGGGTACAGTGGCTCATGCCTGTGATCCCAGCACTTCGGGAGGCTGAGGCGGGCAGATCACGAGGTCAGGAGATCAAGACCATCCTGGCTAACACAGTGAAACCCCGTCTCTACTAAAAATACAAGAAAAAATTAGCTGGGCGTGATGGCAGGCGCCTGTAGTCCCAGCTACTTGGGAGGCCAAGGCAGGAGAATGGCATGAACCTGGGAGGCGGAGCTTGCAGTGAGCTGAGATGGCGCCATAGCACTCCAGCCTTGGCGACAGAGAGAGACTCCATCTCAAAAAAAAAAAAAAAAATTATGTCTTTATCTAACCTAATTAGTCCTTTAAGACATTAGTTTCCTTAAGTCCAAAAATGACATAACTTGGCTTATTTTGGTATAAAAATTATACAGGAAGCATTGTCAAATATGAAATGGTGTTTGGTTTTCTTTGGGCTGTATTTGTATACATATCTAATTGTGTTCCAAATTTATAGGAAATTCCTGTAATTTTGATATACCTTAGTGTACATTATAGTAATATTCATAATTGTTATGTTAAAATTATTGTGTGCCACAGAGGTAATAAATTTCCTTGTCAATTGTGTCTTTTAACTATGGCTGCCTTAAAACTTTTTTTCATCCATAGACAATTGTCTTGTTTTACCTTCTTTTAATCCATAGACAATTGTCTTGTTTTGCCTTCTTTTGCTCTTTAAAAGGTGGATTTATATGCCAGGTGTGGTGGCTCATGCCTGTAATCCCAGCACTTTGGGAGGCCGAGGTGGGCAGATCACAAGGTCAGGAGATTGAGACCATCCTGGCTAAAATGGTGAAATGCTGTCTCTACTAAAAATACAAAAAATTAGCTGGGCGTGGTGGCAGGTGCCTGTAGTCCCAGCCACTCGGGAGGCTGAGGCAGGAGAATGGTGTGAACCCGGGAGGTGGAGGTTGCAGTGAGCTGAGATCATGCCACTGTACTCCAGCCTGGGTGACAGAGTAAGACTCTGTCTCAAAAAAAAAAAAAGATGAATTTATAATTAGCTATAGGACTCTAACAGTTGCACTTAAATGCAGGTTTTCTGATGACTTTGGAAATTGTGACATTGGAATAAAGGAACTTTCAGAACTCTGATGGAGAGCTGAAATGTTCATGACTATCAAACAGAATAGGAGTTAACCGAATTAACGGAACCAATAGAAAACAGAAGTAATCTTTTTGACTTTTTGCTTAAAATGTTGCTGATACTTTTTTTGTTTTTCAGAGTTAAGAAAACATTTCTTTTAAGCTATTTACAGCTTTTAACAATTGAGTAAAGTATACTTTGTGAACAAAATTTGGAACCTAATTGTTTCCCTCTACCTGATTTCTCTAGAATTTGGAAACTATTTGTAAGTATTCTTAATCTATGGCAATATAGTTATTTGCATAAGTGCAGTAAGAATCAGTTTTCTTTTGCAATAGGACACAACTGGAGAAACTGGTTATTTTACCAAGGCTTTGACTGGAATGATGTGCTTTTCTTTAAGGAATCAAACTTGACTTATGGAGCCAATAAAGCCCTTGGGAAATTGGCCTCATAGTTTGTGTACACAGTCCCTGTACAGAGTTTCTGACCTGTCCTTAGTAAAGAATGTCACTTTCTGACAGGCACAGAGGCCCCAGGTTTATCTTGGATCCTCAAGAGGAGAGGAAATTCACCAAACTCATAGATATTTGATGGCACAAATCCATGGCTGGGCTCGGCTTTAAAAAAGTCTTATCTGGACCAGGTGTGGTGGCTCATGCCTGTAATCCCAGCACTTTGGGAGGCTGAGGCGAGTGGATCACGAGGTCAGGAGATCGAGACCATCCTGGCTAACACGGTGAAACCCTGTCTCTACTAAAAAATAAAAATAAAAATAAATAAATTAAACATAAATAAATAAATAAGTCTTATCTGATTCCTCCTATAGAACAAAGTTCCATCAAAGCCAAGTTAAAAGCCTATGTAAAAAATAATTATTCTTGCTGTACTATATATAAATAATTAGGCCAAGTGTAATAAAGCATACCAGTCATACCATGATTTGTCTTTAGTAAAACTGAGAAACTGGAGAGAGAAAAATTATGTTTCTAAACTATAGTAGATCTGTTGTTAGATCCTAGTCTTGCCTAATGTTTTTTTCAATTTTTATTATTTTCCATATTTTGGATCGAATTCGAATTTTTCTTGACTACAAGTCTTCAAAATAATGTTTTCAATTTTTTTCCTTCTTTTTTTCCCCATTTTTCTTAATTTGGAGTCACTGAAAACTAAGCTGTGCTTTCTTAAAACCCTGCGAACTGAAGCCAGACAACTTAAACTTCAGAAGAAAATAACTACAACCTATTTACATACATAAGCCACTTTCATACCTGCCTACTAATGTATGGACTTCAGAGTAATGTGGCCTATATTGATTTTTCCAGGACTGTTCTTTTTTTTTTACTGTTGTTTTTTTCTCCCTTCCTTCCCCCTATTTTCTCTTCACAAGACATGAGACTTCACCATCTGCTAAAAATGAGCTTTTGGGACCTCACCGTTGTATTAGTTCATTTTCATGCTGCTAATAAAGACATACCCAAGACTGGGCAATTTACAAAATAAAGAGGTTTAATTGGACTTACAGTTCCACATGGCTGGGGAGGCCTCAGACTCATGGCAGAGTTCAAAAGGCACTTCTTACATGGTAGCAGCAAGAGAAAATGAGGAGGAAGCAAAAGTGGAAACTCCTGATAAACCCATCAGATCTTGTAAGAGTTATTCACTATCATGAGAATAGCATGGGAAAGACCAGCCCCTGTGATTCAATGACATCCCCCTGGGTCCCTCCCACAACACATAGGAATTCTGGGAGATGCAATTCAAGTTGAGATTTGGATGGGAACACAGCCAACCATATCACTCTGCCCCTGACCCCTCCAAATCTCATGTCCTCACATTTCAAAATGAATCATCCCTTCCCAACAGTCCCCTAAAGTCTTAACTCATTTCAGCATTAACCCGAAAGTCCACGTTACAAAGTCTCATGTGAGACAAGGCAAGTCCCTTCCACATATGAGCCTGTAAAATCAAAACAAACTAGTTACTTCCTAGATACAATGGGGTTACACATATTGGGTAAATACAGCCATTCCAAATGGGAGAAATTTGCCAAAACCAAGGGGTTATAGGACCCATGCAAGTCCAAAATCCAGCAGAGCAGTCAAATTTTAAAGATCTAAAATGATCTCCTTTGACTCCAGGTCATGTTGATGCAAGAGGTTGGTTCCCATGGTCTTGGGCAGCTCCACCCCTGTGGCTTTGCAGGGTACAGCCTCCCTCCTGGCTGCTTTCATGGGCTGATGTTGAGTGTCTGCGGCTTTTCCAGGCACACGGTGCAAGGTGTCAGTGGATTTACCATTCTGGGGTCTGGAGGATGTTGGCCCTATTCTCACAGCTCCACTAGGCAGTACCCCAGTAGGGACTCTGTGTGGGGGATCCCACCCCACATTTCCCTTCTGCACTGCCCTAGTAGAGGTTCTCCATGAGGGCCCCACCCCTGCAGAAAACTTTTGCCTGGGCATCCAGGTGTTTCCATACATCTGAAATCTAGGCAGAGGTTTCCAAACCTCAATTCTTGACTTCTGTGCACCCACACAGTCTCAATACCATGTGAAAGCTGCCAAGGTTTGGGGCTTCCACCCTCTGAAGCCAGAGCCTGAACTGTACGTTGGCCCCTTTCTGCCATAGCTGGAGCAGCTGGGACACAGGGCACCAAGCACCTAGGCTACACACAGCATGGGGACCCTGTGCCTGGCCCACAAAACCACTTTTTCCTCCTGGGCCTCTGGGCCTGTGATGGAAGGGGCTGCCATGAAGGTCTCTGGAGACATTTTCCCCAAAGTCTTGAGGATTAACAGTAGGCTCCTTACTACTTGCAAATTTCTGCAACTGGCTTGAATTTCTCCCCAGAAAATGGGTTTTTCTTTTCAATCACATAGTCAGGATAGACTCTCTACCAAAAAAATTTTGTTTCAATCAGCCAAGTGTGGTGGTGTGTGCCTGTAGTCCCAACTATAATACTAGGGAGGATGAGATGGGAGGATTGCTTGAGTCTAGGAGTTCAAGACTGCAGTGAGCTATGATTGAGCCCCTCCAGTAAAGCCTGGGCAACAGAGCAAGACACTATCTCTAAAAATAATAATAATAATAATAAAATAAAGTAATGGCAAGAGAGATCAAGTATAAATGAAGGACAAATGGGCAGATAGAGTGGAGATTTAAAATATCAACGTATGCTATGAAGAAAGACAAGTATGAAATAGTAGGTTTGGAGAGTGTGCAGCCCCACGTCATCAAGGCCACTCATTTTAGGTCTCCATCTGGATCCCTGCAATGGCAGGGGCCAAGAGTAGTTAGTTTGGTAGTCCTGGGATGCAGAATTCAGAATGACACAGCCTTTCTAGGTCCCATGCAACTGCACGAGGTAAACCGGTAAGTGGCTGAGTAATACTCAGGTTCAAATTACCACACAAGGGGGCAATTAAAATTCAGAAACACTGTACTTCTATTCTTACTTTATTATTAATGACTTGCTTTCCCCTTTTAACTTCTCAGGAATTTCACTTGCTCAGGGAATAAATATTTATTAGATATTTATCAGTTTGCAGAAATCCTGCAACACAGAAAAACAAGTCAACATCTGTTACTTCTATTTGCAGAAAACTGGTAAATTCAAACAGTGTGCTAATGTTTCCACTCGGGAGGAATGTAACTGCACAAAGGATCAGAAGTTTTCACATGCTGTTGCTTTCTCAGATTGCAGGGAAAAAGTAAGATCATTTTTAATTACCTGAAGATAGGATACTTTCTTATCAACAAGATTTTGAAATGTGCCTTTGGGTTAAACATGAAAACTAAGACATATAAATAATGTCTTATTATGATGCAGAGCTAAATGTGACACTGAGCTAGAAAGATCCAGATTTAAATGTACCTTGCAAGTTAATGAACCTCATTGGTAAAATAAAACAGTAATACCTGCACTACCTTGTCCATTCCACAGCATTCGTATAAAGACACACACTCGCCCACACCCAAACACACCCCTATGTATACGAAAGCAACTTGTAGTCTGTAAAACACTATACCAGGTTATGGTAAATATTGATTCATTTAAAACAACTTTGAGTATCTTGTATCAGGTTCTTGGAACATAGAAGGCAAAGTCATTGTAATCAAGCTCAGCCTGCTGACAGTCACAAATGAAAGACGGTATAATATGTTGGTTAAGAGAAGGCTTCTGTGTCAAATAATATTTTATTCTGTTAGTATCACAGTTTGCATTAGAAGAGTAAAATACGCAGTTGGGGCCAGGTGCAGTGGCTCACACCTGTAATCCCAGCACTTTGGGAGGCCGAGGCAGGTGGATCACCTGAGGTCAGGAGTTCGAAACCAGTCTGACCAATATGGTGAAACCCAATCTCTACTAAAAATACAAAAATTAGCCGGTCATGGTGGCGTGCACCTGTAGTACCAGCTACTCAGGAGGCTAAGACAGGAGAATTGCTTGAACCTGGGAGGCAGAGGTTGCAGTAAGCAGAGATCGCACCACTGCACTCCAGCCTGGGTGACAGAGCAAGGTTCCATTTCAAAAAAAAAGAAAAAAACAAATATGCAGTTGGTATATCTTTCAAACAGATCAATTTCAAAGGCCTTGTAAGACTGTATATTGAGAAACTGTTATTTCACAGACTACATATATGTAAAATTACATATAAGACATCTAGAGACTATATATGATACATATTTTATATATATACACACACACACAATATGTTGGCATAGAGTCAGCATTCTGTAAATTATCATTATTTTATTTTTGTTTTTACTTTTTTTGAGACTGAGTCTCGCTCTGTTGCCCAGACCAGAGTGCAATGGCGCGATCTCAGCTCACTGCAACCTCCACCTCCCAGGTTTAAGTGATTCTCCTGCCTCAGCCTCTCAAGTAGCTGGGACTACAGGCGCCCACCACTATGCCCAGCTAATTTTTGTATTTTTTAGTAGAGATGGGGTTTCACCATGTTGGCCAGACTGTTTCCAAACTCCTGACCTCAAGTGATCTGCCGGCCTCAGCCTCCCAAAGTGTTGGGATTACAAGCGTGAGCCATTGTGTCTGGCCAGCATTCTGTAAATGATGAGGGCTGTTTTTATATACCCCCTTGCTGAACTAAAATAATGTTTTGTGAGCACTTACTATCTACTAAATGCTACTCTAAGCCTTCTCCGAGATTTGTCTCATTTAATTCGAGCCACAGAGAAGTCAGGCAATTTGCCAAAGATCACATTATTAACATGCTTTGGGGCTGGATTTAAGCTCTGATGCCAGAGCCAAGTTTACAGATTGTGCCTGAAAGACTGACTGGCTGGAAAAGTGGCAAAAGGAGGGTGAGCGATCTATGCATGGCTTTCTGGGATATGATTTAGCCAAAAAAAAGTTTGAATGACATCATAGTAAATTCCTGTGAAAAGGGCCTATAGAAGTGATGAGTTTTGTTACCACAATGTATAGACTGCCTTTGGAGTTCACATTGATTCTGCTCTAAGACATTTTCATGACTGAAAAGGCAGAAACCCCTCACAAGCACATTTCATTGAACAGCCAAACTATTGGAATGTATCTTTTCGCTTTTTACCAGGAAATGAAGTGACTATTGACTTTTCCGAGTTTACATTCATTCTTGGAATTTGTATTTTAGGTTCCTCGCTTTAAGTTTCCAATTACACAATATCCAGTTTCTTTGGAAATTATCAACGAGGATGGACGTGTCCCATTGGAATCTCCGTATCTGGTTACTGTGACTGAAGTGAACATGAGGCAAAACTGGAAACTGAGTAGGGTTTGCTTTCATCTGTAATTATTTTATCTTATAAGTAATATTGTTACTGGTTTACAAAGATCAATGGTTTTCAAAGCTTGTTCACACAAAAGAGAGCCAGGAGTTCTTGCAAATGGATTTGGATCAGTTGGCATATTGCTGTTTACTTCTGTTTCCCACTGATTTCATCATCACTTCCAGAGGCCTGGATTCTATGGTAAAAGCATTTTTGAATAATTTATACTGCAAAAAAAAAGGAAAGTCATTTTGTGGATTAATAGCCAACAGTGGGGCGGGCGCAGTGGCTCACGCCTGTTATCCAGCCACTTTGGGAGGCGGGGCAGGCGCGATCACAAGGTCAGGAGATGAGACCATCCTGGCTAACACGGTGAAACCCCGTCTCTACTAAAAATACAAAAAATTAGCCAGGGTGGTGGCGGGTACCTGTAGTCCCAGCTACTCGGGAGCTGAGGCAGGGAGAGAATGCGTGGACCAGGAGGCGAGACTTCCAGTGAGCTGAGAACGTGCCAGCTGCACTCCAGCCTGGGCGACGGAGCAAGAGCTCTGGTCTTCAAAAAAAAAAAAAAAAATAGCAACAGTGACTGATTAAATTTGTGCTGCATGCTGGTCTGGTGTCTCCTTTCCCTGCTGATTCAGTGTGACAGAGGGGGTTGTGAAAGGTGTGGCCAGATAATCTTTAGGATCTATCTTCTAATTCTTAAAGGTTTTATGGTAAAATAATTGAAAAGATGCAGATATATTTTAAATAAGATGTTTACCCCTATTCACTTTACCTCAAATATGTAACTTTTTGTTGCACATTTTGTGTTCACGTTTGAATACTCTAACGAGATAGGTAGGTAGGTAGAAATAATTAACTAAACAAATTTTGGTCAGCCATTAATATGTTACTAAATATCTGGGCATTTGGTATTCAGTGAGTCTTACTCTGGCCAACATAATGCATTTTTGAAATGAAAAATCCAGCAAAATAAAGTTACTAAATATTTTGCATTAACGGACATCCCCATTTTCTGTGGTGTGCTGGAAACTGTTCTTACCAGTTTTGGAGTCCTGATCATTAAATATTAAAACATTTTACAAGCTGGATGTTAAACCATTGGTAGCTTGAAATTAGCCAGGGTGAGAATATTTACACTATGGAAACTGGAAATTACAATCACAGCTGTTTCTTTTCCTTTAGATTCTGTGTACCTTTATACCCCTGCAACGTCTAACCCCTACACTACCTGTCTAGTTTTAGAAAGGATGACAAGAAAGGCAGGAAAATTGTCAAGTAATCCCATTGTAAAACTTTACTGCCACCTTATTATAAATCGTTTACCTACCAGTAAGGAGGTCCTGAGATGACCTTACTGCCAAAAACACGAAGCACGTGCAGGTCAGGACTGATCCTGAGCATGGGGCTGGAAGGAAAAGGTCAGCGTGAAGGTGATCAGAAGTCTTGAACTTCTTGAGGATGCCCTCGAAGGCAATGTGAGATATTGGGCCTCACTCCCCTAAATACATCGCCTACAAAGTCAAGCAGAACTAAAAGTATGGGATAACTTGGTCATGTTATGGAGTGAAAGCTTTCATTGCACCTTAATGTGCCTAACAAATTTTATATTAGTAATTGCAAATGAAATAGTAATAGTAAATTAAAAGTAATGGCAAAAACAGCAATTACTTTTGCACCAACCTAATACAAAATGAGAAAATAAGTGTGCTTAAAATATGTTTTATGTATTTTTAGAACACACTGTGCCAGAAAAGATTAAAAAAATGAAAAAATTTGTAGAACCAATTGTTGGTGCTGCAGTGTATAATCCTTCAGGTCTCAACTTAAGCATAAAGGTAATGATGGCATTGTTGTTTTTACTGTGTTGAGTTTAGATAAAACATATATGTCTAAACTAAGATTGGTTTTAATTAGAAAGTATAGGTAACCAGGAATGGTGGGAATAACACCTTTAAAGTATATACTTTTAAAGTATATGAAGAGGGTTTATTTTTTCTCCATTTCCCCTGGTGTTATTATTTCCAAAGTTTTGAGCAGATAGGCAAGACATATTATTTAGCAAAGTGGAGAAGAAAGAGTGTTTCCGAAGGTGAGAGGGAAGAAATGTGCTCAGTATTATTCACCTGGATATGCACGGGGAACGTGTCTTCTGGTTCCAGCTGCCCATAAAAATACATGAAGTTGGTATAATACAGATAATTGTGAAAACCAGTCAGAATTAGGGAACATACTGAAACCGCACATACGAGATTAGTCCAAAGTATTTATCAAGGCCAGATTTAGTTTTAATCTCCTCATTCTAAAAACAAACAAAACAAACAAACAAACAAAAAAAAACCATATCAACTATTGAATCCCTCCACTTCAATCCATCTTTTTATTTTTTTATTTTGATACATGATGTGTATGTCCGAGAGCCTTAGGAAGAGGATGGGAATCTTTTCATGCAGCATCTATAGGAACAGTGGCCCCAGGGTATATTTTTATTAATATTTAAAGGAATGTACATGTTGATGCTGCTAACAACTGGGTGTGCTTTTTTCCACAGGGCTCTGAACTTTTCCACTTTAGAGTGACCGTCATTTCAGGAGTCACTTTTTGTAACTTAATTGAAGAATTTCAGGTAAAATGAAGGGGTGATGGCTGGGGAAAAAACGTGACAAAACCAATTCAAGAGACATTGAAGAGAAAAAATTGGCAGAATTGTTGTGATGGACGAGGCTTAAAGACAGGGGATCCTGAAGGGTAGCAGTGACACTGTCAGTAGTGATGAAGCCAGGGTGCGTGATGGGTGCCAGGACTGATTGATGCTGGCAGAATTTTAATAATACATATAATAATACGTGGCTGTTTTTGTTTTTCTTCCTTCTCCACCTTCCTTGTTGAGCCCAGTTTTCTGACTTTTAATGCTCTTCCTCTCACCCCTACTCCAAAGAACATATTTCTGTAACTTTTAGTTTCTAGTCTGATTATCCTCCTTATGGCTGTCTGAACTGTAATCATTGTCTTAAATATTTCAAAGGCTTTCAAGATCCAAAGAAATTGGAAACTAGAATCAGTCTTTCCCAAATCATCCCATGAAAGCGACAACTCATTTTTGCTTATTCATATAATGACATCTGTTGCCTGTGAGGCATGGGAAGGAATAAGGATTTGATAAAAATCAATTAATGAGTCATTGTCAAATGCTGATGTTACATTAACATTCTCTCTCTCTCTTTGTCTCTCTCTCTCTCTCTCCTGTTCTGACCCAGCTCTAAGGTCAGCCCCAATAATGGCTCTGCACTACTACAGTGGTGGGTGGCCATTGCAGCAGTGTAAACCTCTAAAACCCTGAGAGAAAAATTCAACCCACTAGGTAAAGAAACTAGGAAAAGAAGCATCTGTCACATAAGGAGTGTGAAGGAAAATCCCTGTTATTTTTTTCTCTCTTTTCTCATCTCTTTGGCTCAAGAGCAGCCCTGGTTGTGGGGAACAGCACAATAGCACAGAGGGCTAAAATTCTCGTAGAAGCTCAGCTTTCTTTCCAGAGAACGAGGAAAAGGACCTCTAAGAGTGGAAAGCATGGGGGGGACATCTCTATGAGAAGAGGGCTGGAGAAAGGGAGTCCTGATTCTTTATAGAAACTAGCACCAGGAAGAAGCTGCATATGAGCAGGGCACACCTAAAGAAAATAGCAAAGGCTTTGAAATAAAACTACAAAGTAAACATCGTCTAGTTTCTGAGCAGCTCCTGAGTGGCACAGGTACCAACCAGGAAGACACAAATAGCATAGCAACAGCTTGGAAAACTGAACTGACACTGAAACCACCACCCACAGAAGGTGAGGCATAACTTGTGATCTGCACTCAAACAGTGTGATTGACTGCTAAAAACGAACAATAGATAATCAGCATTTTCCAGATAACTTTTAAACAAGAACCAGAGTCTCTCAACATAACATCAAAAATGTCCAGGATACAATCTAATGGTATTCACCATATTTACCAGGATACAATCTGATGTTACTCACCATTATTCACCAGGATACAATCTGATATTATTCACCATGTCAAGAACCAAGACTATATAATCAATTCTGAAAAGGCATCAACAAAGGACCACAAATGCAATTATCAAATATTCTAAACTAGCTATTATAACCATGCTCCAATATGGTACAGGTAAACACTTTTGAAATAAGTAGAAAGTGATAGATTATCAGCAGAGATCTAGAAGCTACTTAAAAAGGACAAAATGGAAATTTTAGAACTAAAAACTATAGTATCTAAATTTTAAAACTATCAAAAGGAATCAATTGCTGGATGGATATGGAACAAGAAAAAAATCAGTGAACTTGAAAGCAGGTCAGTGGAAACCCAACCTGAAGAAAAAGTATTTTAAGAAGAAGAAGATCTTGCCTCAGGGATCTGTGTGACAGTACCAGGAGGTCTAACATTTATGTCATCAGAGTCCATGAAAAAGAGGAGAAAGAGATTGGTATGGGGAAAAAAATCCCAGCACTTTGGGAGGCCAAGGTGGGTGGATCGCTTGAGCTCAGGAATTTAAGACCAACTGAGCAACATGGCAAGGCCCTGTCTACAAATACAAAAAAATTAGCCAGGTGTGGAGGCACACACCTGTAGTTCCAGCTACTCTAGAGGCCAAAGTGGGAGGATTGCTTCAGCCTGGGAGGTCAAGGCTGCAGTGAGCTGAGATCATGCCACTGCACTCCAGTCTGGGTGACAGAATGAGACCCTGTCTCAAAAAAAAAAAGAAGAAGAAAGGAAAGAAATAAAGACTGAAAAGCCTCAAGTTTGGTGAAGACACAAATTTACATATTCAAGAAGCTTAATGAGCCCTAAACAAGATAAAGATAGAGAAAACCATGCCCAAACACATCATAATCAACTACCAAAAATCAAGATGATAAAATATTGAAAGTGGTCAGAGAAAAATCACACTGTATACAAGGGTACAGTTTGACTGACTGCTGATTTCTCAACAGAAACCACAGAGGCAAAAGAAAGTTATACAACATCTTTAAAGTGTTGGGGGTGAGGGTTGGGTGGGAAGGAAGGATTGTCAATCCAGAATTCTCTACCTACTGAACATATCCTTCAGGAATAAACAATCAAGACTTTCTCAAATGAAAGAAAACTAAGAGAATCCATTGTCAGGAGAACTTCTCTTTTGAAAATGCTTAAAGAAGTTCTTCAAGCAGAAGAAAAGTGATAACAGCAGGAAACTTGAAGCTTCAGGAATGGAGGAAGAACAAAAACGGATAAAAGAAAGATAGGCAGTGACTGCACCATTAATAAAAGAAAAGAATTGTTAAGAAAATATAGAGAAAGTATATAAAGGTTCTTGGGACTGTTGGAACCTGCTTTTGAAAGTACCCTGAAATAGGCTGGGTGTGGTGGCTCATGCCTGTAATCCCAACACTTTGGGAGGTCGACGCAGGTGGATCACTTGAGCTCAGGAGTTCAAGACCAGCCTGGACAACATGGTGAAACCCCATCTCTACTAAAAATACAAAAATTAGCCAGGTGTGGTAGTGCATGCCTATAATCCCAGTTACTCGGGAGGCTGAGGCAAGAGAATTGCTTGAACCCAGGAGACAGAGATTGCAGTGAGCCAAGATCGCACCACTGCACTTCATCCAGCCTGGGTGACAGAAGTGAGACTCTGTCTCAAAAAAAAAAAAAAAAGAAAAAAGAAAGTACCCTGAAATAGCCAGACCTGGTGACACATGACTGCAACCCCAGCTATTTGGGAGGCCAAGGGAGGATCCTCTGAGGCCAGGGGTTTGAGGCCTCAGTCCAGTATGAATGTGTCAGTGAATAACCACTGCACTCCAGGTTGGTAACATAGCAAAGCTCCGTCAAGGAAAGAAAGGGGAGGAGAAAGGAGAATCCTGAAACAATGAAATGCAACCCATAAGCTTGGATTTTCTTTCACCCAAAATACATTATGGGGGTAACTGGAAAAAAAAGAAAAAAAAAGGAGTAAGATCTGCAATTACATTATAGTATTGTCTTAATGTTAATTTCTTGACTTTGATCATTGTACTCTGGTTATTTAAGTGAATTTTTGTGCTTAAAAATACAAATTACTTTAGGAGTAAATAGACATTGTATCTAAAACAGACTCCTAATTCTGAGGTTTAACCTTTTTTAGAAATGGTGTGGAATATTTGGATGGTTGAAGAAGATTAGAAGGGAAACATTTGAAGAAAAAGTATATTTCAGAACTTTAGAGGTAGCAATTTAGATGGAGAATACAGAATTCAGAGGTGATAAACGTTTCTCATCTTAGACACATAATAAATGGCTTAAATAAGCAAGTGAAATTTTTTTTTTTTTTTTTGAGACAGAGTCTTGCTCTGTCGCCCAGGCTGGAGTGCAGTGGCGCAATCTCGGCTCACTGCAAGCTCCGCCTCCTGGGTTCATGCCATTCTCCTGCCTCAGCCTCCCGAGTAGCTGGGACTATAGGCACCCACCACCATGCCTGGCTAATTTTTTTGTATTTTTAGTAGAGACGGGGTTTCACCATGTTTGCCAGGATGGTCTTGATCTCCTGACCTCATGATCTGCCTGCCTCAGCCTCCCAAAGTGCTGAGATTACAGACATGAGCCACCGCACCCAGCCACAAGTGAAATTTTTACATCATCTGGTGGAGTGACTGAAATTCCATTAGGTAGAAATGGATTAGGAAGGCATTCTGTATGGAGAGACCAGGTACAGAGATGGGAAAGTGATTCAGGATTTTTCTTGGCCACTTTACCAACCAGGGACCTCCACAGCTGGTGACACCCTCCACCTGGCCCTTGCTTAGCCCTGAGCCTGCTGCCGGAGGCACCCTGCCCACTTGTCCCACCTGTGTTGTAGCTTGTACCCATGTTCTTGTCCTGCATCCAAGTATAATGAGGATACACTGACAATTGAAGAGTGAGGAGGGCAGAGAATAATTTTATTGAGTGATGGAACAGCTCTCAGCAGAGAGGGGACATAGGGGGTGGTCCCTCACCCCTGCAGTCAGGTGGTTTCTTTGCCAGTGTGGCTGAGTCTGGGGCCTTTATGGGCTCAGAATAGGGGAGAGCATGCTGATTGGTTTATAAGTATGCAAAGAAAGGCTAAAGCGAAGTCACCACTCTAAGGTGGGCACAGCAGTGTAGAAAACCAATTAGGAAGGATAGGTATATGTAAAACAGGTGAAGGGTGGGATCAGTCAGAGGAAAGCATGCCAAACAGGAACACAGGTTCTGAATTCGGTATGTGGATTTACCTGGGACTGTCTTCAGCTTGAAGGTCAGGTTTCACCAGGGACCCGCCCTATCTGCCTAGGCATTTGACTGCCTCCTATCACTGTCAAAAGCATAAAGTTTGCTTTTTGAATAGCTCAAATCCATTTGGCTGGGATATAAGGTTATTTAGAAGAAAACCAAGTAGCTTAGGGTCCAGTCGTGGAAAGCTTTGAAAGTCAGAGTGAAAGCTTTAGAGCATTCCTGTCAACATTCCTGTCAACAATGAAAAGCTATTAAACATTTTTTGGAAAAAGGTGTTTATACACAGACTGGTGTTTTATACAAAGATAAATCTGGCAATGTTAGGATGTCAACATGGACTGGTGGCCTGGGAAGGAGGCTACTAGAGTAGCCTATTTATGAAAAGTGGCACAATAATCACAGTAGCAGTACTGAAAGAATGGAAAGAATGAATGTGAGGGGAATTTCAGAGAATTTGTAGCATGGAGAGACTGTTTCTAAGAAACCAGCTACCTCCTTGGGTCACTGAGAGGATGGCCATACCTTTAACTTGAGCTAGGCCTTAAAGCAGCCCGTCATCCTTTTTATTGTCCTTTGCACTTTCCCACATTCCCTACTGTCCTAGTTCCACTCATCAGCATGTTCTTCTCCCACAAAAGATGATCTGGCTTCCTGCTTCACAAAGGAAACATAAGCCTGGGCTTGAACCCCCTACTCTCTTTATGCCCCACTTCTATATTTAACATACAATGACCCCACCCTTGCCTCACATCTCAGAGAAAAAGGCATCACTGTCCCTCTCTGTCAATCATCCTATCTTTCCTCCAGAAATTTACTTGCTTCTGTTAATTAGCTATTCATGCAGAGGAAACATTTTGAATACATAAAAAGTTTCCTATACTGGCAGCACCTACAAAGAGGATTTTCTAAAGAGGTGGTAGCTTGAAAGAGCACAGACATAGGCCTCTACCTGGAATGTTCCTTTATCTCCTTCTCTTCTGTGAACCCACTTATTCATCATGATCCAGCTCAGAAAGCGCATTCCCTGACTGCCCTAGGCAGGTAGGCATTCCCTCCTCCACGTTCCCAGAGCTCTTTGCCCATTCCTCTGTGACTGAAGAGAGAATGTTCTGCTGTGTAAGCATTTTATCTGCCTCCTTCCACCGTTAAAGACAGGGTAAAGGCATAGGATAATACATGTACTTCTTAGCCCCTATTTATTGTAGGCAAATTGTTACTTGTTCAATTGTCAAGAGACTGTTTCCAAGCTTTGTGGATGCTGAATGTCTTTGTAACTCTGGGCAGCGTTTTGCTCTCCGATTAATTGTGGGGACCATAAAATTTTCAGTGTTTTGCATTGCTAAATTCAGAAAGCTTAAAGACTTTGCTTTTTCTGTTGCAGATTTATGTTGATGAGGCACCACTGCCCTTCCCAGGACACACGCTTATTGCCGTGGCAACAGCGGTAGTGCTAGGGGGATTAATTTTTATGGCATTTATGTTTCAACTGCATGGCATCCATCCGTGGAAGACATTCCAAAACTGGATTAGAAGAAAACAAGCGAAGTTTTCAAGTATCACTCTCAGTGAGCTGATTCGTAGATGAAAGTCTGAAGAGTGAATACATAGTCATCATAATTTCTCTTTATTTTCTAGTTTTATCATACAATTCCAAGAACAATATGCTTAAATGTTAAATGTGCAAGCTACATAAAATCCTACAGAATTGTCATTATAATTCAAATTGCTACTTGTCAATATATTCACCATTCCCTTTTCTTATTTTGAATACATAGAAAATGTCTTATGCCAGGGCTTATGTTGAAGATTTTCCTTGAGGTTTTTAGAAAAGTATAAAATGATAACCAACTCGACATGGAACAGGTGTTCTGTGTTGTTCACCTTAGTGCCTGGAGCCCATTCTGTGGGGTCAGAAGCCCTGAGCTCTGCTCCTTCAAGATAGCATTTGAGTAGAGTGCAGTTATGCCAAGGTGAGGTAGGCGTGAAGACGGCGGATCAGCAGAAGTGTTTTCAGAGCCTTGTGGGAATGAAAGAGGAAGCCATTCAAGTTTCTTCTGGCAACTTCAAAACCAGATTGTCGTACCTAGAGAGGGAAATGTGACCCCATCATTAGGGTGTTAGAAGAATGCGGTATCTGAGCAGGGTATTGGTTTACAAACCTACATGCAGCATGGAGAATTCCAAAAGCTGTATCTCTGTGTGCTCTCAAAGTACCAGTCCCCAGGTAGTCGGAAGATGACCATAACATTCAGAGATCAGAGCCTCATGCTCCCTGGAAAAGCTCAGGAGGGGAGCACACTGTTTTGAAACATAAGGGAAGGAAGCATCCAATCCAGGTCTGAGACCATCTATCATTAAAATTCCTTAGAGAGGGCAGTGCAGCAAGTGGGCAAGAGAATCAGACTCCAGAGCCAGACCTCCTGGGTTTGCCATTTACCAGATATGTAACTTTGGCAAGTTAATTTATTTGTGCATGAGTTGCTTCACCTATAAAATGGGAAGACGTTAACACCTACCTAATGAAACAGGAAATTTTCCTTGACCCCTTCACAGGCCTTGTGACAGGGATGCCTCACTTATTCAGCCTGCAGCTCTCAACCCCTCATGGGAGGGGGAGCATGCAGGTGAGCGGGTGTAGGAGCCAGAGTGAGCACTTTTGGGTGCCAGCAGGAGCAAAACTCCATGTAGGCCCCAAGGCAGCATCTAGGAAGGAGTAGTCATGATCCCCAAAGTCGCAGAAGGCGTATGTTACAGTGCTCTTTTAACTCTGCTGTCCATGGATGGCTTAAGTGTTAAACAGCTCAGTGGGCTCTCTGCCTTTTTGTGGGAGGCAGTTGCTCTTTGGCAGCGAGGGCAGAGGGTCAATGTGACAGCTTTTAGTGTCCACACCCATGGTACCCAAGCTCTTGTTCAGTGTCTAGGAAAAATCAGTTTGCATGAACAAATTGAAGGGTGGTGAATGTGGAGGATTTTATTGCTGATGGAAGTGGCTCTTGACAGGAAGGAGAGTTGGAAGAGGGCTGGAGCAGGAAGGTGATCTTCCCCTGGAGCGCTGGAGTCTGGTCATCCCTGGCCAGACTCCTCTCTGAAGCAACACCGTCAAACCATCCCTCTGAAGTCAAGCTGCTTGTCTCTGACGTCAGACCACAGTCTCCAACGTCCAGCTGCTTCTCTTCTTCTCCCCTTCTCTGCTCTCTGCCAGTCGGGTAATGGGTTTTTAATGGGTACAGGATTGGGGGTGGGGCAGGCCATGTGTGGTTTTGGAAAAGGCAATATTTGAGTAGGAAAACAGGAATGCATGTTCTCACTTTGGGCCATGGTTCCAAGCTTGAGGGTGGGGCTTCTCCAGGGACTCTGCCCTTTTCTGCCTAGAATTTCTCTGCCTCCTGTCCCTATCACTAACAGGGTTCTCAGGAGGATCAAATGAATGAATATGTGTTAAATATTTAGAACAGGACCCGTTTACAGTGTGTGTGATAAGTGTTGGTTGTAATTGATGCTGCTGCCCCTGCTGATGTGTTTAGGTCGTAAGTAATACAGAGATTTTTGTCTAATTAAAATAACAAGGGAGATGCACTGAACAAACACTACAGAATGTCAGATATACAAAGCAAAGTCTAAATCAGTTTTTGTCATGGGCAGGAATGAGGACCATCCTGGGGACCTAGGAAATGAGCGTTTGTTAACTCCTCAGAGCTTCCCTTGGACCAGGGGTCTAGAGATAGAGTATAGCATAGTGGTTAAAAGTATAGGCTCCAAAATCTAAAGCCTGGGTTTTTTTTCTCTTAATAAACTTTGTTTAATGTTAGAATAGTTTAAGATTTACAGAAAAGTTGTGAAGATGGTGCAGAGAGTTTCTGTGTAAAACCCAGAAAACGTTGTTACTGGGCCCTTAAGCTGTGTGCTTGGGCCCACTCCCCCGCTGTGGAGTGCTTTCTTGCTTTAATAAATCTCTGCTTTCATTGCTTCCTTCCTGTGTTTCATTCCTTTGTTACTTTGTGTGTTTTGTTCAATGCGATGTCTCACTCTGTCAGTCGCCCAGGCTGGAGCGCAGGGACATGATCACAGCTTACTGCAGCCTCAACTTCCTGGGCTCCAGGAATCTTAAAAGCCTGACCTGTAAAAATTTCCCCAGACTTTAGGCAATACAATGAACACATTTCTATAAATTCCAATTCTACAATGTAATTTCTATTCTGATGCCTAACACCTTTCAGTTTATTTTGAGTTAGAATCTACCACTTGACAAACAGTGGAACACAGGAAGGATTTTGAGGTTTCAGCTGCAAGGGAAGCACATTAGGAAATGGCAAAGATTTCACTGTAGGAAGAATTGAGATGATACTTGGTTGGCCAGGTTTCTTAGGCAGTTTTTGTAGCAGTAACAACCCTCAGATCTCACTCTTAGTTGCTTACAACGATAAACATTTCTTGCCCACTGGTCTGACAATCGGCTGTGGTGGCTCCATACATCTCTCATTCTAGGACACAGGTCAAAGAGCAGGGGCCACTTGGGCGGCTGTACAACACATCTGCTCATAGTCTGTCGCCCAAATCAAATCATGTGGCCAGCCAGGCTTGGTGGCAAACACCCGTAATCCCAAAACTTTGGGAGGCCAAGGTGGGAGGATCACTTGAGGCAGGTGTTTGAGAGCAGCCTGGGCAACGTAATGAGACCCCCCTCCTACCACCACCACCAAAAAAAATAAATAAACCACCAAAAAAAAAAAAAAATTAGCCAGGGGTGGTGGTGTACACCCATAGTTCCAGCTAATCGGGAGGCTGGGGTGGGAGGATCACTGGAGCCCAGGAAGTTGAGGCTGCAGTAAGCCGTGATCATGCCCCTGCGCTACAGCCTGGGCAACAGAGTAAGACACTGCATTGAACAAAACACACAAAGTAACAAAGGAATGAAACACAGGAAGGAAGAAATGAAAGCAGAGATTTATTAAAGTAAGAAAGCACTCCACAGGGTGGGAGTGGGCCCAAGCACACAGCTTAAGGGCCCAGTAACAACGTTTTCTGGGTTTTAAGCCCTCCTTTTGAGATTCCTATAGGTTACCCCTTATCTGGATGAAGGATTTGGTCCGTGGCTAATTAAAGGTTGGGGTGAATTGGCGCCCTATGCAGATGAAGGGATGGTCCCTGTTCCGCCCAGGCCAATCCTGGTGTTTCATGAGGAGTTTAAATATAACCAAGGCAAGTTAGTGCTATGGTCTGAATGTCTGTGTCCCTCACCCCCACCCTCGGCACCATTCATATGTTAAAACCTAATCCCCTGTGATAGGATTAAGAGGTGGAGCCTTTGGGAGGTAATTAGGTCACAGGGTCCCACCCTCCAGAATGGGATTAGTGCTCTTATAAAGGGGGCCTGAGGAAGGTCACTAACCTCTTGTTAGCCCATTCCACCAAATGAGGCTACAAAGACGAGACATCCATCTAAGGAAGGAAGTGGCCCTCACAAGACTCCAAATCTGATGGCAACTTGATCTTGGACTTCCCAGCCTCCAGAACTGAGAGAAATAAGTTCCTGTTGTTTATAAGTCACCCAGTCTAAGATATTTTGAGCATTTTGAACAGACTAACAACTATTGTATTTAATATAATCCTCCCTTTCCTTCTCAGAAATTCCTATATATTTCTTTTTTATCTGGTCCTTCCTTTCAGCAACTAGTTCCCTACATATAGTAGTTATTAAGCAACTGTTGCATGAATGAGGAACAGATATCTCAAACTGATTTATCTGCAACAGAGTCAACCAAGAGAAAAACAGAATTTGATGTCCAAAATTCAACCTTGTTCATTCTTTCCTCTGACCAGAGAGCCAAGGAAAGATGGAATTTTTTTTTTTAATTTTTTAATGCAATCATGAAATTAAAAATGCCAGGTTGGGGATTCTATATGACAACAAGTATTATGGGAAAGAAAGAAAGAAAAAGAAAGGAAGGAAGATGAAAATAAAGAAGGAAAAAGAAAAGAAAGAGGAGAAAGAAAGAAAGAAAGAAAGAAAGAAAGAAAGAAAAGAAAGAAGAAAGAAAGAAAGAAAGAAAGGAAGGAAAGGAAGGAAGAGAAGGAAGGAAGAAGGAAGGAAGGGAAGGAAAGAAAGAAAGAAAGAAAGAAAAAAGAAGAAAAGAAAGAAAGAGAAAGAAAGAAGAGAAAGAAGAAGGAGAAAAGGAGAAGGAGGAGAAAGGGAAGAAGGAAGGAAGAAGGAAGAAGGAAGGAAGGGAGGGAGGAGGGAGGGGGAGGGGGGGAAAAAAAAGGTATTGAATTTTTTGTAAATTCCTGTAAGGGAAAACATTTGACCCGTAGACCACTGTAAAAACATGTAAGTGGTTTTGTGGTAAGGATTTAGGAAAACACCAGAAGGAGAAAATGTTATGAATATAGGAATTGTTATCAGTGAAGAAGTTCTGTTTAGGCAGTTGGTAACTTCTGGTGAGTCTTGAATCGTATAGCCCACAATTAGCAGACCATCCAAGCCTATCTGCTCATGCACTCCTCTACGCTCATCACCCTGAAGTTCTGGGGTCCAGGGAATTACTGTAGGAATTTATAGATTGTCTTGTAAATCTAAAAGCTGAATTTAGGGTCCTGTTGTAGCCTGGGTCATCTGAGAAGCAGCTGCCAAGATGGAATTAGATGTACAAGAGGGAGGATAGAGGCAAAAGGGAGCAAGAGCAGAAGGGGAACCCTAAAAAACTCCTAAGAAAGTCTTAGCCAGCAAGTTGACATAAGATGAGTCTCCTGTCCAGCAAGAATGGCCAGGGTCTCAGTCCCTTGCAGGGTTCAGTCCTTGGTTGGGAATGGCCTGGGGGAGGCATTGTCTCCAGCGAATGCTGGAGGGGGCAGACAGTGGCCATCAGCCAACCCCAGGTCTCCTGCAGGCTCTGTTAGTGGAGCTGTGAGTAGCCATGGCTCCATATCCCCTGAGCACCCGTAGATCTGATTTTATGTTGAATTACACGTAAAGGCCCCAAGACATCCTGGAAAGGTGATTCTACCTGGAAGAACACCTGTGTTCGGTCTCTCTATTAAAGAGAAGGTGAAAATGTTACTGTAAAAGGCAGTCTCCATCCAGACCCCCAGAGAGGGTTCTTGGATCTTGCACAGGAAGGGTGAGAAGGAGATATTTTATTGAAAGCTACTTCTTTACAGAGTAGGGCATCCTCAGTAAGCAAGCAGAGGAAGGCACCATCTTTAAGTTTTTCATATATGGGGGTCTTGTCTATGTAAAGACTATAAACTAAACTGTGCCTATGTATGGCTGAGCAGACAGAATGACAAAATTTATTATTCTGTTGACTTAAAGAAAACTATCCTTGACATTCTATTGTGTGAATACATCAAAGCATAACTATAATATCGCCAATGTTGTAAAACCCCAACTCTACAAAAATTAGCCAGGCATGGTAATGCATACCTCTAGTCCCAGCTTCTCGAGAGACTGAGGTGGGAGTGAGAGGTGAAGCCAGCTGGACTTCCTGGGTGGAGTGGGGACTTGGAGAACTTTTCTGCCTAGCTAGAGGATTGTAAATGCACCAATCAGCAGTCTGTGTCTAGCTAAAGGTTTATAAATGCACCAATCAGCGCTCTGTGTCTAGCTAAAGGTTTGTAAACGTGCCAATCAGCACTCTGTAAAATGGACCAATCAGAGCTCTGTAAAATGGACCAATCAGTAGGACGTGGGTGGGGCCAAATAAGGGAATAAAAGCTGGCCACCCGAGCCAGCAGCGGTAACCCACTGGGGTTGCCTTCCATGCTGTGGAAGTGTTGTTCTTTTGCTCTTCACAATAAATCTTGCTGCTGCTCACTCTTTGGGTGCACACTACCATTAAGAGCTGTAACACTCTCCACGAAGTGTTTTGATTTAATTTAATGTAACTTAATTTAGGAGAGCTAAGTAATTAAACATGAAGCCAAAGTACTAAGAAAGTGGCAGTCTTTTATTGCAAATATGCATACACTCTCGGGCGAAGTTCTCTGGTCCTCAGGTGTGGGGGGCCAGGGAAGTCGCACCGGCGCTCTCGGGTGATGTTCTCCGGTCCACAAATGCGGGGGCCAAAGAAGTCACACTGGCTCCTGCCGGCAGCGGACTTTTATGCATTGGTACTGGAAGGGGGAGGGCAGTGGGCAGGATAAGGGCGTGATAGGGGCGTCTCCGTAGGCGTGGCCGGGTAAGTTTCGATCTCTTCGGGTTGACATCACCTGGCGCATGCTCGGTTGATCTGCATCTTCCCGCACGCGGGAAAGTTGGTGAGGAAGAACCCGGAAGCAACATGGATTATGCCTTCTTGTTCACCTTCCTCCATCTTGTCCTTTCTCCTTCACCCAAACACGAAGGTCTGCGGCTTCACTCCTGAAGTCAGTGAGACCACGAGACCACGAACCCACCAAAAGGAAGACACTCTGGGCACATTTGAACATCTGAAGGAACAAACTCTGGACACACAATTTTTAAAAGCTGTAACACTCACAGTGAGGGTCTATGGCTTCATTCTTGAAGTCAGCGAGACCAAGAATCCACTGGAAAGAACAAATTTACACAGGAGGATCATTGGAGCTCATGAGGTCAGGGTTGCAGTAAGCTATGATGGCTCAACTGCACTCCAGTCTGGGTGACAGAGTAAGACCCTGTTTCAAAAAGAAAAGAAAAAAGTAACCACTTTCTTTGCTCATCTATAGGAAGCAATTCCTTATCCATTCAAGTGTTATGAGGTCGGATGTGGTGGCTCACACCTGTAATCCCAACACTTTGGGAGGGCGAGGCAGGCAGATCACCTGAGGTCAGAAGTTCGAGACCAGCCTGGCCAGTATGGTGAAACCCCGTTTCTATTAAATGTACAAAAATTAGCCAGGCATGGTGGCGCACACCTGTAATCCCAGCTGCTCGGGAGGCTGAGGCAGGAGAA